AGAAACAGGCAAACCGCCTGAGACATCCCCACAAAATGGCCGCGAACGAGCCCGTGCAACCACCCCTGGCGGCTCCCCTTAGGGGTGCTGAAATGAGCGCCTCGCTCGAGACATCCTCCAAATCTGTTCCGAAAGCGAAGGATGTTGGGCACAGAAACAGGCAAACCGCCTGAGACATCCCCACAAAATGGCCGCGAACTAGCCCGTGCAACCACCCCTGGCGGCTCCCCTTAGGGGTGCTGAAATGAGCGCCTCGCTCGAGACATCCTCCAAATCTGCTCCGAAAGCGAAGGATGTTGGGCACAGAAACAGGCAAACCGGCCTTAAAAAAAAAGACATCCCGCCACAAAAATGGCCGCGACGAGGTCCCCGTGCAACCACCCCTGGCGGCTCCCCTTAGGGGTGCTGAAACCAGCGCCCCGCCTGAGACATCCTCACAATCTGCTCTCCAAGCGAAGGATGTTGGGCCCAGAAACAGGCAAACCGCCTGAGACATCCCCACAAAATGGCCGCGAACGAGCCCGTGCAACCACCCATGGCGGCTCCCCTTAGGGGTGCTGAAACCAGCGCCCCGCCTGAGACATCCTCACAATCTGGCTCCGAAACAAAAAAAAAACCAAAAAAAAAAAAAAACAAAAAAAAAAAAAAAAAAAAAAAAAAAGAAAAGCAAAAAAAAAAAAAAAAAAGAAAAAAAAAAAAAAAAAAAAAAAAAAAAAACAAAAAAAAAAAAAAAAAAAAAAAAAAAAAAAAAGAGGATGTTGGGCACAGAAACATGCAAACCGCCTGAGACATCCCACAAAATGGCCGCGAACGAGCCCGTGCAACCACCCCTGGCGGCTCCCCTTAGGGGTGCTGAAATGAGCGCCTCGCTCGAGACATCCTCCAAATCTGCTCCGAAAGCGAAGGATGTTGGGCACAGAAACCAGCAAACCGCCTGAGACATCCCCACAAAATGGCCGCGAACGAGCCCGTGCAACCACCCCTTGCGGCTCCCCTTAGGGGTGCTGAATGTATGGAGTAAGTCCCCTGTGTGATGTGAGTAAGTTCCGGGTGTATGTGTACGTCCTGGGTATTGACTAATCTGTGTATGCGTAAATTCTGTGTATGAGTATTCTGTTATATGAGTATATCGGAGTGTGAGTAGTCTGAGTATGTCGTAGGTCTGGAGTATGAGTAAAGTCTGAGTATGATTACGTCTGTGATGAGAAGTTCCTATTACATGTCCGACAGGAGGGGAAGGAGAAAAGAGGGAGGAGAAAAAAAGCAGGAAGGAGGAAGTAGGAGGCCGCCCAAGTAAAAATTTAACTCCGACGGAAGAACCCCACATGAGAATCCTCTGGGCGAATCTGGAAAAAGCCATCACCGTCGTCCTCGTGGTTGGCGAGGCGTCCTGGCTGTCTCTTCTGCGTATATTTCCTCTCGCCTTGGCGCGGGCCCCCCTTCCACTCCTTGCGTTGTCCCCATCCTCGCCCCCCTGTTTGTTCCGCGCCCCGCCACCTCCTCCCCTTCCTGTTGCATGAGCGCGCGTGTCGATGTTCCTCGGCGCCGTCGCCGCCACGGCCAGCACAGGCGCGTTCTCTATTGGTCACGTCGCGCAGCCGTTGGGACAACCCCGCGGGCCAGGCTGTCGTGACAACCCCGCGAGCCGCTGGCGCGCAAGACCCAGCCGTTGGGTCAACCCCGCGGGCTTTCGAGCGAGGCGCAGACCGCGCTCGGCAGGCGGAAGGCAGCAGCGAAGCCAGCTGCTGCCGCGAAAAAATAAAGAGAAGCTGCTGCTTCGCCTCCGCCCTGGACAAAACCGTTCTCTTGTCGAACTCCAGGAGCGCCTTCCGCAGGGACGCCGGCGGCCCGCGCTCCATGAACTCTCGCGGCGGCGGCCGCAGGATCAGCATGTTCCGCATGCACGTGGCGCGGGAGAACATGACGTAGAGGTGCAGCCACCACTGCTCGTCCGACATGCCCGTGCGGCCAGCGTCCTCGTCTCTCGCGCAGTCGATGGTGACGCCCTTTCGCAGCGTCTGGCCCTGCGACAGCGTGGAGGTCAGGTAGGACGCGTGCGTCAGGGTGAACCCCGAGCGGCGCACGCTGTGCGCCCCCGAGCTCTGCCATGTGAACTCCCTCTCGCTGGGCCTGAACATCAGCAAGCTCCGCGCCCGCGCCTCGGCCTGGCCGTCGTCGTCGGCGCCTTCGGCGCCCTGTCGCAGCACCTCGGCGACCTGAGGAGCCCAAAAACTTCCTTGTTGCGTCCAAAATGTTGCCTGGGAGCTGCGTTCTGGCAGCGCGAGAACCCAAAATTGACGACAGTTACAGGGTTCCGATGACCCGCTCGGATTACCAACATGATCTGCGGGCCCCATAGGGAGGGGGCTCCCGCCTGAGACTTCCTCACAATTCACTCACAGACGAGCTCCCGCCTGAGACTTCCTCCAAATTCAGGCTTGAGGAGCCCAAAAGTGACGACAGTTACAGGGTTCCGATGACCCGCTCGGATTACCAACATGATCTGCGGGCCCATAGGGAGGGGGCTCCCGCCTGAGACTTCCTCGCAATTCACTCACAGACGAGGCTCCCGCCTGAGACTTCCTCCAAATTCAGGCTTGAGGAGCCCAAAAGTGACGACAGTTACAGGGTTCCGATGAACCGCTCGGATTACCAACATGATCTGCGGGCCCCATAGGGAGGGGGCTCCCGCCTGAGCCTTCCTCAGAATTCACTCACAGACGAGGCTCCCGCCTGAGACTTCCTCCAAATTCAGGCTTGAGGAGCCCAAGAGTGACGACAGTTACAAGGTTCCGATGACCCGCTCGGATTACCAACATGATCAGCGGGCCCCATAGGGAGGGGGCTCCCGCCTGAGACTTCCTCCCAATTCACTCACAGACGAGGCTCCCGCCTGAGACTTCCTCCATTTTCAGGTCTGGGGAGCCCAAGAGTGACGACAGTTACAAGGTTCCGATGACCCGCTCGGATTACCAACGTTATCTGCGGGCCCCATAGGGAGGGGGCTCCCGCCTGAGACTTCGTCACAATTTACTCAACGATGATGAGGATGAGGATGATGAGTGGTGGTGAAGATGAGTGGTGAAGAGGATGATGATTGATTGTGAGTGGTGGTGGCGATGATGATGTTTGAATGAGGATGATGCCGATGCCGATGCCGATGATGATGATGATGATGAATGATGATGATGATGATGATGATGATGTTCGTGAGCGTGTGAGAGAGTGCGAGTGATGATGATGATGAGTATGTGAGTGACTAAGCATGTGAGAGAGCATCATCGATGATGCTGATGAGGTTGATGATGAGAGAGTGTGAGTGAGTGTGAGTGGGTGTGTGTGTGTGTGTGTTCCTGTTCCTGCGCGGGGTGTCCAGAGAAAACAACAACCCCACTTTGGATGTGGGGAACAAGAACCCCATCTTAGGATATGGGGAACAAGAACCCCATCTTAGGATATGGGGAAATAACAGGAGTCCCCATACTTTCCTATATTTTCTCGGTTTTTGTCTTCCCCCCAACTTCCCCTATTTTCCCATGTTTTCTGAGGATCGACGATTCACTGTGTCTGTTTGTTTTTTCCCCTCCTGACCAAAGGGAGGCCCCCAGAGCCCCCCAAGAAACCTCCAAGAGGCCCCCCACGAGGCCTCCCAAGAGCTCCGAGAAACCACAAAGGGGCCCGCGCCATTGCACGAACGGCGCGTGGTTGCTACGCTCCTCGTCGATTCACACACGCGTACGTCCTTCCCTCGCTGCTGAGGGATGGGGAGGAACGAGAGGGGGGAGGAGGGACCAGGAGTGGCATGAACTGGTATTTTCGGGCTGGGCGAAAGGAGGGGATAGCAAAGGGGGGGTTTGAGAATCAGCTCACGTGGCTGATGTTCCTGGCGCCTCCCGGCGCCGGAGGCGGCCATGTATCGAGAAACGGGCCCCTCGGCGGGGCCAAGAAACCAGCTGCACGCGGCAGATCTCGTAGCCCCCCCTTTCCCTATCCAAGGGCTCTAAACTTCGCGCTTCGCGCTCCTCGAAGCGCGAGTAACTTCGCGCTGTCGCGCCGCCCCCCCTAAGGGAGAAAAGGAGGACGAGGAGGAGGGGGAGGAGGAACGAGGACCGCGAAGCGCGAATCACCTCGCGCCCTCGTGGGAGCCCTTTCCCCTATCCCTCCCCCTTTCGCCTGGCCCGATGTCTGGTTTTCTTTGAGCAGGGACCGACCGTCCCGGCAGTCCTATAGTCCTACCACGAAGCGCTCCTAGAACCAACAAATAGTCTAATAACATAAAACATGTTCTTAGAACATTCACCCGATGTGTCAAGACAAGACAGCCTCAACCAGAAACGTTCTGAGAACATTTCTCGTGCAAGCCACAGCAGGTTCTTCGAACATGGTTGGGTAGGGCTAGAGGCTAACCAGGACGCTTCGCCACTGCTTGATTCGGGCCAGGCGAAAGGGGGGGAAAGCAAAGGGGGGGTTTGAGAATCAGCTCGCGTAGCTGATTTTCCCGGCGCCTCCCGGCGCCGGGAGGCGCCCATGTATCGAGGAATGGGCGCGGCGGCGGGGCCGGAACCAGCTGCATGCAGCAGATTTCGGACCCCCCCCTTTCCCACTCCCCCCCTTTCGTCTGGCCCGATAGAGGCGAGCCGGGACGCTTCGCCACTGCTTGCTTTCCGGGCGCGGCCACCACCAGCGCCAGGCCGCGCGGGCGCGGCATCCCCGCCGCGACGGGGGCGGGGCGCGGCGGCGCCGGGGCCGGCCGGCGGCCCCGGCCGGAGGCGGGGGCGGGCTCCGGGGGGGCAGCGGCAACCGCCATCGGTCCTCGGCCACGGTGCCAGCAAGCGCGCTGCAGTAATGCTGCGAGGCGCTGCCCAGAGCACGGTGTACATATACATTGGTGCGCACAAGTGCGTACAATCATACACCTGTAAATACTGTGTATATATGTATATATACATATATATATATATATATATATATATATCGCTTGTGTATAGCATCTTCTGGTTGCCAGCGCTGGTCGGACCAAGAGCGGAAGCGCTACCTCGAGACGGCGCAAGCAGTGCATAACGATACCTGAATTCTGGCCTCCGCCCAGCTGGCAACTTACGATGCGCGCGCTCGAACCCGAACTCTAGTCCTCACGCCCACGGGGCGCGAGGGTTATCCTGCTAACCGGCTGCTACTTGGCACCGAGTGAGGCATGCAAGCTGAGCTAAAGTGAAACAAGCACTGACGACCACCAGGGCCCCAACTGCCATTGAGCTCAAATCATGCTGTCCGTACACTGCCGCTCAGACCCACGATGTAAAACGTCGCTGGCCGGAACCAGTTCGGGCCTTATGGTTAGCGGGTGTTGGTTGGTGTGCTGCATATGACTGTTAGTCATGCCTCTGCGTACATAGTTGGTTAACGCATCTGCCACAGTATGATGCGTTCCCACTCTAACTAGTTTTTTTCTCTCATCTCGTCACGTTCTCCTGGAACCATCGATTGCACATTTCAATGTGTCTACCTTGTCCCAATCCTCTCCTGCTGGTTATCGCACTTGCAGCAGTAGCGTCGCTCTTTAATTGCATCATTCGCTTAATTTTGACTCTCTCAACACTGGTTGCAATACTGACCCTACCGATCCCGTGTCACCATTCCGCAGCACCATGCCGCAACGCAACAACGCTCTCGGTGTTGCACCAGGCTCGCATGATAGTTCCGCGGGCAACAGATTTTCCTCTTGAGCTCGAGACGTCGGAAACGCCGTACCGTTCAAGTGAACGGATGTATGTTGCATTCGCATCGCATCGGGGCGTGCCACATGTTACGGGTGGAGATGCGGGAGTTGGCCGGGCCCGCTGTGGCGTTCAAGCAACCGTACGTTAGGGAAGGAAAATGTGTGATGGCCAGGCCAGCTGTGACGCTCGAGCACCCACATGTTATGAGAGGGGTGATGGGAGGTGGCTGGGACCGCTGTGGCGCTAGAGCTTCCGACCTTTCCACTTTGCTTGTCTTGTTCCTCCTCGTCCTCCCTTTTCCTCCTCCTCCTCTTCCTATTCCTAGTCGTCCTCCTCCCCCATCCCTCCGCCCGCCTACACCTCCTCTCTCTTCCTCTTCCCTCGTCCATCCCCTTCCCCTCCTCCATCATTTGTCATCCTCTATCACCCTCCCACCTCCGTCCCCTCTCTACTCCTCTCCCCTCCCCTTGCCTCCCCACGCGTTGGCTGGCCCTCACGAAACGTTGCAAGCCGGGGAGGCCAAGGACTCTCGGATGAAGGCTGTCAAGGTTGTGGGACGGACGTCACCCGACTTCTAGCCACCCCCTCTAGTGCAGCACGCCCCATAGCTCGGACAGGCCGTGTATGGCCAGCGTGCACCACCGTCAGGGCCCCTTACACGTAAGGCCCATAGCGCAGCAGGAAATGCCCCAGAAATAGTCCTCCCCTCTCTTCAGCCTCGGATAACCCTTGCCCCGTAGAATCATAGCATTGGTCTGCGGAGCCACACCTCCGAGGAAAGCATGATGCCTCACCTGCAGTACCACGTGGATCCAATTTACTGTGGGTCCGCAACATGAATTAGTAGAATCAACTTCCTCCAGGGAAATAAACGGATCCATGTTTTTCTACACGCGGGAACTTGGATCCGCGCAACACAGAGATAGGACCCACGAAACTGAGAGGAAGAACTTTCGGCCTGGGGATGTATGCTTACCAAACAGAACTACCCCTCAACTAGTTAATCATCGCGTCTTTTGACACTCAGCAGAAACGACGTCGGTCCCGACGGTTAACTATTTGGGCACACACTGGCAGAAATTCAATCGAACTGTGGCGAGTAGACATCCCCTACTAAGATCTCTGCATGCCTCTGGGCAGCTTCGTTCCGTGGCCCGTTGTGCCCCCCCCCACGGGAGAGGGCGCCTCCGCTCAGGCGGGACAGGCGGAGCCAAAAAAAAGGCCTGCACATTTGTCAGCGAGTGCGGGGTTTGACCTCCTTTGTCTGGTCAGGGCCGGTGCCCTAACTGCTAGTGGACGAAGGACGCCTCGGGCGCATCAGCGGAGGCCGCCGCACGGCACCGTCTCGCCCGAGCAGTCCCTGTCGCAAGTGTTGTTCATCCTGAAGGTGTGCACGACCTCCCCTGCCGGGCTGACGCAGCCGTCGCACGGCCCGTACGACGAGCACGGCGCGGTGCCCTTCAGGAACAGGTACGAGTGGCAACCGCCAGAGCCCGCGGATGCGGGGAAGCCGCTGCCGCCGTCACCGTGGTACCAGCCACAGGTGTCGCACACAAAGCTGAAGCCTGCGACGGCGTCCGCGGGAACAGCGTCCTTCAGAACGACGTTGCACTTCCTATCGTTCATCTCTGGGCGTTGCCAAGGATGATCCCAGCCCGACGTCCCCCCAGCTTTTCGAATCACTTCGGAAACCCTGGGGGCCCGTACTGATTTCTTGGGTCGACGTTTGAGCCTCTACCCACTCCATACACCTTCTCCGGTGCGCGGACGGCGGCGCGGGCGACGTTTGAGGCGGCGCCAAGAGTGCGGAGAAGAGGGTCTAGCGCCGCTCCAAGAAACCCGCGCGGACCTCAACGAATCTATCGTGACGTCCCTGTCCTGTCCTTCGGCCTGGGGCCAGGGACACGTTTTAGAGGCCTCCCACATGTGGTCGGACTACCCGCGGTCGGAGGGACGCGCCGCATGGCGGATTCATCGCCGATGCATCGCCAACGTCGGCGATGCATCGGCGCCGCCGGCGTGGATCAAACCGCGCCCCCACATCAAGCCGCATCGCAAACGCCTTATGCGGCGCGATACTCGTACCCCATCGAGCCCCTGATAGCTCTGTAGAACCCTCCGATTGTGGAATCGATGTATCTCGTCTTCGCCCTTATTGACGGACGGGGGCCCCACTAATAATGACATATGTGTATTATTCCGCGGCACCAGCCGCGCAACAACAAAACAACACTAATTCTAAGACTGTTCGTTCTTACTTGCCCGTGCGTCATTCAAAACGAGCTCCCCACACCCTCGATACCCGCCTTTGTTTGTCTTCGATCACACCCCATTTAGGGGGATTTTTTCTCGTTGCGGGGGGCCGCGGGCTTAGACAGGCGTGCAAACCTGAACGGGCGGACAATCTTTCGTGGGCGTACATGTGCCCGCCATTGGAATTGGTGTGGGCCATGCAAAAAGAGGAGGGGAGAATGAAGGAGAGCGGTAGGAAGGGAGGGGGAGGGACGAAGGATGGAGAACGCCAGGAAAAAAGGAGCGATGAGGGGGGCGGTTGATTAGAGGCAGAGAGAGAGAGAGAGAGAACAGAGAGAGAGAGAGAGAACAAAACAACAACAACAACATATAAGAGAGGTAGAGAGAGAGGGGTGAAAGAGACAAAAAAAAGAAGGGAGGAGGCAGGAAAGAGGAGGGAGAAGGGAGGAGGGAGAGGAGGGAGAGGGGATAGGGCTGAGAGGCATAAGGATGAGGGAAGAGAGGAGGGAGAGAAAAGGGAGGACAGGAGGAAGGAGGGAGGAGGGAGAGGGAGGAGGAGCAGGGAGGTAAGAGCGTGAACGTTCGAGGAAGTACTAGGCGAAAGCGCCGTTCCTGAAGGAAGTCTCGGGCGGGAGCCCATGACGGGCGGGCGATCCCCGGACGGGCGGAACGGGCGGGTGGGACATTCAAGCAGGATACCTGAGTATGGCGAGAGCGCGATTACTAAGGAAATTGCAGCGGCGTCCTTAGCGCAGCGTGTTTCCTGAGCGTCGAAAGCGCGATTTCTGAATAAAATGCATGGGGATCGCAGGCGAAAGCGCAATTCATGAATAACATGTGAAGGGTTCTCTGGCGGGAGCGGGGGTCTTGATTGAATTGCGAGGAAGTCTTGACTGAATTGCGAAGGAGTCTCAAGTGGGGCGCCGTTCCTGAGTCTATAAGTGAGGAAACCTCAGATGGGAGCGGGTGTCCTGAATACACTGCAAAGAAGTCACAAGCGGGAACACCGATCCTGAGTAAATTGTAGTTCTCAGGCGGGAGCGGGGGTCCTGATTAAATTTGGAGGAAGTCTCAGGCGGGAGCCGTTGTTGTTGTAATCTGGGGGGCCAGGGGCACAGTCTGAGCATCAAGCCTTTCCCTGCCCCAAAAACAAGGGCCGAGCATCAGGGGGCACACTTTGATGGAGAAAAAACAGCATGCACCGGTGATGGGGGGATCAACAACAAGTGTTTGCCAGAAGTGAAAGATCAACAACAAGGTTGACACGTGCTCTTGATGCCCGTTCACCAGGAGACTTGGCCAATGCTTGTCCTTAAAGGACAACCCGTGACCTTGCCTCCCGGGGATAAGCAACCCCCCCCAGCAACCAGCAACCAACAACCTCGGGTTCCATTTCCCGTTCCGCTCTAACTTCGCTTGCTTATGGGTGCGAACTCCTCCCTCATGCACTGTTTTCATGTCTGCACCAACGAAGCTCCGAAATCTATCGGCCCCTGTATGATTCAATCGAATTGTATTGGAAACCTCGACGGATCCTATAGGGATCCGGTAGGGGCCCAATTGGAGAGGGCGCGCCCGCTGGATCACCCAAAGGGGGGGGGGGGGGGGTTTCCGAACCCCCCCCTCCCCCCCTTGCCCGACCGTGGTCGGCGAAAGCCCGAAAGCCCCCCCCCCCCCCCCCCCCTTGCCCGACCGTCGTCGGCGACCCTCCCCCCCCTCCCCCCCCTCTCCCGAACCGTCGTCGGCAAACCCCCCCCCCCCCCTTTCCCCGGCTCGCGCCCCGGCTCCGGAACCCCATCCCTACCACCCCCGCCCCGACCCCCCCGAACCCCTAACCTCTAACCCAAACCCTGAACCCTAATCCTTAATCCCTAACCCGAAGCCTAAACCCTAACCGTAGACCTAACCCTGACCCCAAACCCTAACACTAAGCCTAGCCCTAACCTAAGCTCTAAACCTGAACCCTTAACCCTAACCCTCAACCCTATCCCTACACCCTAACCCCAACCCTACCCCTCACCCTAAACCCTAAACCCTAACCCTAACCCTAAACCCTAACCTCAACCCCAACCCTGACCCTAAACCCTAAACCCTAGCCCTAAACTCTAAACCCTAACCCTAAACCCTAACCCTAACCCTAAACCCTAACCCCCAAAACCCTACACCCTAAACCCTGACCCTAAACCCTAACCCTAACCCTAACCCCTACACCCTAATCCTTAACCCTAACCCTAACCCTAAACTCTAGCCCTAACCCTAACCCTAAACCTTAACCGTAACCCTAAACCCTATGACCTAACCCTAAACCTTAACCCTAACCCTAAACCCTGAACCCTAAACCTTAACCCTAAACCCGAACCCGAAGCCTAACCCTAAACCCTCACCCTAACCCTAAACCTTAACCCTCAACACAAACCATACCCCTAACACTAAACCCTAACCCTAACCCTCAACCCTAAACCCTAACCCTAACCCTAACCCTAACCCTAACCCTAACCCTAACCCTAACCCTAACCCTAACCCCTAACCCTAACCCCAAACAAACCCTAAACCCTAAACCCTAAACCCTAAACCCTAAACCCTAAACCCTAAACCCTAAACCCTAAACCCTAAACCCTAAACCCTAAACCCTAAACCCTAAACCCTAAACCCTAAACCCTAAACCCTAAACCCTAAACCCTAAACCCTAAACCCTAACCCCAAACCCCAAACCCCAAACCCCAAACCCCAAACCCCAAACCCCAAACCCCAAACCCCAAACCCCAAACCCCAAACCCCAAACCCCAAACCCCAAACCCTAAACCCTAAACCCTAAACCCTAAACCCTAAACCCTAAACCCTAAACCCTAAACCCTAAACCCTAAACCCTAAACCCTAAACCCTAAACCCTAAACCCTAAACCCTAAACCCTAAACCCTAAACCCTAAGCCCTAAGCCCTAAGCCCTAAGCCCTAAGCCCTAACCCCTAACCCTAACCCTAAACCCTAAACCTCGCTCGCCTGGCGCGCAGACTGTTGGACGTAGGGGCCGTCGGGGGCGGGACTCTGAAAGCTTTGCGGGTGTGCGGGCGGGCCCTTCGGGCCCGCCCGCACACCCGCAAAGCTTTCAGAGTCCTGCCCCCGACGGCCCCTACGTCCAACAGTCCGCGCGCTCGGCTCGCTCGCACCGGACCCCTGCGGAAAGGGGGGGAGGGGGGGGGGGGGTTCCGAACCCCCCCCCCCCCCTTCAAGGGGGGAGGGGGGGGGGAGGGGTTCCGAACCCCCCCCCCCTTTCAAAAGGGGGGGGGGGGGGGGAGGGGTTCGAAACCCCCCCCCCCCCCCCTTAAAGGGGGGGAGGGGGGGGGGGGGTTCTCGGACCCCTTCCCCCCCCTTAAGGGGGGGAGGGGGGGGGGGGGTTCCCTGGAGCACACCCCCCCTTTTGTGTCTTCCAGGTGATCCACTGGCGCTCTTTCCCAATTGGATCCTATAAGGATTCTATAAGTATCCCATGCGATCCTGTAGGGTCCTATGGGAAACGTATAGGGATTGTATGGGATTCCCATGCGACCGTGTCGGATCCGATGGGAATCGTATAGGGGATGTATGGGAATCCCATGCGCTCCTATAGGATCCTATAAGACTCCTACAGGGATTGTATAAGAAACCTATGATCTCCTATGGGATCCTTTGGGAATTCTATAGGGATCTATAGAAATCCCATGCGTCCCTGTAGGGTCCTATAGGACGCCTATATGGACTGTATGGGAATCCCATGCGACCGTGTAGGATCCCAGAAGGCTCCTATAGGGATCCTATACGATGTTATCGGATCCTATATGGATCCTATAAGATCCTGTGGGGATTCTATGAGAATCCCATGCGATCCTGTAGGATCCTATAGTGATCCCATAGGGATCCTATGCGACCTTATGGGGTCCTTAGGGGTCCTATAGGAATCCAATAGGGGTTGTATAGGGATCCCATGCTATCCTATAGGATCTAAGAAGAATTACATAAGGATTGTATGAGCATCCCATGCGATCCTATAGGATCCTATCGGGTTCCTATAGGGATATTATGCGACCCAATCGGATCCGATCGGGCTCCTATAGGATCCTGTGGGGATTATATAGGAATCCCATGCGGCCCTGTAAGTTCCGATAAGAATCGTATGGGGATCACATGGGGATCCCATGCGATCTGGTAGGACCCTCTAGGAATCGTACACGGGTCGTGACGGCAACCCATGCGATCCTATAGGGCTCCTAATAGGGATCCGATGCGATCCTATAGGGTCCTATAGAGATCCTGTGGGGATTCTGTAGGACTCCCATGCGATCATGTAGGGTCCGATGTGAATATGATAGGGATGGCTTACAAATCGCATGCGATCCTAT